GAGCAAAAGGAATAAATTGCAAGGAACAGGAAGTCCAAAACAGTTTGGTTTTGTGTTTGTTTATTCATATTTAAGATGAATGGAATATGAATAGTTATCTGATCATACTCAGTTAACTTCACAGTCTGCCTCTAGCTATTGAGTGTATAAATCACACATAAAGGAGGAACCTCACAAATCCTGAAGGAGATTTAGATCTCTCTCTCTCTCTCTTTCTCTCTCTCGCTCTCGCTCTCTATCGTTGGAACAGCCTCCCACAAGTATAATAAAATCACCTGTGTAATTTACTTTCTCAATCCAGTGAAAAGTTACCTCCTTGGTGATGCTTTATGACATCATCAGTGTACTTCCATGTACATTTGTACTTCCAAGGGAAGTACACATGATGTACATTTGTCACCCAGAAATTCCAGGGATGGTTTTGTCAGGGAGTGTGAAACCTCCCTGGGAATTTAAATGGACATAGCTAGAACTGTTTACGTGACTCACATCACAGAGTATGTTCTTGTTAATAATCTACTAATCAATGTGTCCTTTTCCCCATGCTGCTAGTCCAGAATAGGCTCATGACCTTTGCTTTCTTGTTAATCTTAAAATTTGAAGTTTCACTGCTTCCTCAACCAAAATTCTAAACAAAACAGTGTAAAAAAAAATTTCCCCTAACTTTTCACACACAAAAAAACATGATCAATAGGACATTAATTCACATCTACCATTGTAAGAGATGTTTGGGACATTCTATTCCAATGCCACAAAATGGAAAGTATACATTTATTAAAATCACTAATCTTTGCAAGACCAGACTTAGAGCAGAAAACTATTAATTTTCCATAAGAATATCTAAGCATGTGTATCTTTTGTCTATGTGCTTTAGCTCTTTTATATATTATATTGCTAAATAAACATAGCTCTTTACATAAAGGAAATTATTTCCTTGGACAGGAGGCACAAGATATTCAGGGTTTTCTCCTTCTCTATTTTCTTTTCTGACCTTCCTCCAAATTTGCATTTTCTCAGAAGAAATCACTCCTCCTAGCATGATGGCAGAAATTAGGTCAGAAAGCTAGCAGGCAGCAAGTTTCTCCCTCAGTAACTCATTTTTCAGACATGTGTGCAGTACACAGTATTGTGTAATAGATACAGAGTGGCTCTGAAATCCAACCTTGAACAAATCTTGACTCCATCATTCACTAGCTATGTGACATTCAGCAAGTCACTTAACCTTTCTATGCTTCAGTCTCCTTGGCAAAATAGTGGTGCCCACGTCATAAAGTCCTATGAATTCTAAATGAAAGAAATGCAGATAAACCATTTTCCAGTCCTTAAAATGGAAATGACAAGAGAAAACAGGGGTATGAATGTCTGTTGAGTTATCAAGCAATGTTTGACATGCCATTGAGAAACTGCTTCTTCCAAAGCCTAATGTAGCCTGTTACCTACATTAATTTAAGTCAATTAATTTTTCTGCCCTTAGAAGATGCCATTTTCTAATTCTGCTTTCTATATATTTGAATATTAATATTAGTTCACTCAATATTTTTTCCCAAAACAAATATATGAATTCCATTAATGTCAGATTTGATATCAGGTGTTGAATAGTTTGGTTTGTTGTTGTTTTATTGTCTCTACCAGGCTAAAAATTTTCTCTTTGGTAGTAATATTTATTGCTTAGAATGTGATGGTTTTGCACTGCTGAGTTCATACATAAATTATTTTACAGATAGGGAGATAAAACATGTGTTTTTATTGTCAAGTTCTTAACCTAATGTTTTTGAAATAATTCCCCAAGTATTCTGGAGTATCACATAATTTTGACATGCAACACTAATTTTTCATCCCCTTTTATGAAACCATTAGACCGTTAAAACCATTTAGTGATACTCATCCCATCTGGGTACATTGGAGTGACATTTGCTTTGGCTTTCCCCACCTTTTTTTCTCATAGGTTGATCATTTTTGCCAAGCTACCACCTGATTAATATATTTTAGAGGCTGGCTGGCTGGCTTTCTTTCTTTTTTTCTTTCTTTCTTTCTTCCTGATAGAAGAAGCCAGTACAATGGCTACTCTTTATTGGAAAGAAGACATTTTACAGCACATTTTGAGTAAGTTAGTGTAAAGGCTCAGTGGGCCAACTGGTGAGCACTGGCATTTAATGAACTCCACAGTTAGGGCACTGCTGGGTCTCATGTTTGTGCAACCAGAACCAGATGATAGCACTCTTGTCCTCTTCATAGATACACCCCACCATTTGCTTGTTAGTGATAGGCAGAACAAAATTAGGGCCCTCCTTGTTACCTGAAGCTGCCTTTGGGGCTGGCATATTGAAATGGTCCAGTCCCTTACATGCAGCCACCATGGACTCCATTTCCAGCTCAGGCATCTCTTCATCATCAGTAGAACACCAGCTCCAGATGCTATGGAGAGCACAGCAGTGACTCCACAGTGACTGCAGGCCCTTAGGGCCTGCATGACCAGTGCTCCAACTGCACAATTAAACCTTGAAGCTGTCAGACCCACTACAAACAGCCTAGAGGAGTTGTTTCTTAATCAGTGGGTCCTCAAGGGTGAATAGTAGGCATGTTTAGACCCAAATGCATACAGGAAAAAATTTGCCCTTTGTGGTTATTTTAAAATCTAATAAAACTGATCAAAATTGGCCTGATTTTTATTATTATCATATGCTGGCAGTTCTAGACAATGTGTGGTAAAATATGTCCTCCTGTCTGTCAGGGCAAACCATCATGATTCCACCTCCTCATTTTTGGTATGCACTGCTTCATAATTCAATTTTTTCCCTTTCAAATAAATTAGTAGTTTAAGGTGGTTTTTTTTTTTTTTTTAAAGATTTTATTTATTGATTCATGAGAGACTCAGAGAAAATAGCAGAGACACAGGCAGAGGGAGAAGCAGGCTCCATGCAGGGACCCTAATGTGGGACTCGATCCTGGGACTCTGGGATCACTCCCTGAGCTGAAGGCAGATGCTCAACCTCTGAGCCACCCAGGTGTCCCAGTAGTTTAGGATTTTAAAAGGTGAAATATTTCTGTCTGAAATATTTCTGATGAAAATTCTGGGCATTTTTACCTGGTTTTATCACCTTGATTGTAATCATGGCATCAATCAGGAAAATACAAATCAAAACCACAATGAGATACCACCTCACACCAGTGAGAATGGTGAAAATTAACAAGACAGGAAACCACAAATGTTGGAGAGGATGTGGAGAAAGGGGAACCCTCTTGCACTGTTGGTGGGAATGTGAACTGGTACAGCCACTCTGGAAAACTGTGTGGAGGTTCCTCAAAAGAGTTAAAAATAGAACTGCCCTATGACCCAGCAATTGCACTACTGGGTATTTAGCCAAAGATACAGATGCAGTGAAACAGCAGGACACCTGCACCCCAATGTTTATAGCAGCAGTGTCACAATAGTCAAGCTGTGGAAGGAGCCTTGGTGTCCATCAAAAGATGAAAGAAGATGTGGTCTATATATACAATGGAATATTACTCAGCCATTAGAAACGACAAATGCCCACCATTTGCTTCGACGTGGATGGATATGGAGGGTATTATGCTGAGTGAAGTAGGGCAATTAGAGAAGGACAAACATTATAAGGTCTCATTCATCTGGGGAATATAAAAAGTAGTGAAAGAGAATAAAGGGGAAAAGAGAGAAAATGAGTGGGAAATATCAGGGAGGGTGACAGAACATGAGAGACTCCTAATTCTGGGAAATGAACTAAGGTTAGTGGAAGGGGAGGTGGGCGGAGGGATGGGGTGACTGGGTGACGGGCACTGAGGGGGGCACTTGACAAGATGAGCACTGGGTGTTATGCTATATGTTGGCAAATCGAATTCCAATAAAAATATACAAAAAAATAATTAGTTTAAAAAAAGTAATTAAAAAACTATCTTAAAATGGATTGTAGATCTAAATGTCAAACAAATGAATAAATTTTTTTATGAATAATTTTTTTAAAGAAATGTAGGTAAAAGTCTATGGCCTTGGATTAGGCAAAATTTTTTAGATTGATTTCTTAGATATGACACTGAAAGCATAATTCATGAAAGAAAACATGATAAATGGATCTTTATCAAAATTTAGAACTTTTCTTTGAAAGACATTAATAAAATGGTAAAAGAAACCACAGACTTGTGGTATTTGCAAATCATATCTGATCCTAGAATTTATAAAGAACTCTCAAAACTCAATAATAAGAAAATAACTCAATGAAGAAATCAGCAAAAACAAATGAACAAAGGGGAAAAAAGAGAGACAAACCAAGAAACAGACCCTTAACTATAGAGAACAAGTTGATGGCTACCAGAGGAAAGGTGGGTGGGGGAATGGGGAAATAGGTGATGGTAATTAAGGAGGGCACATGTGATGAGCACCAGATGTTACTGGAAGTGTTGAATCACTGTATTGCACACCTGAAACTAATATTACACTGTATGTTAATTACACTGGAATGAAAATAAAAAATTAACAAAATAATCATGGCATCATCACTTGTTTGAAAACAAAAGGTGAACAAAGAAATAAATGGACAATATTTATACTGAATGAAAATTGGACTTAAAGTTACAGCTGTAACAAAAAGTAGAGTTTGACCATTCTCTGCAGATATTCTGCTTCTCAATACAATTCCTTTCCCAAAAGAAAGAAAAAAAAAGAAAGAAAGAAAAAGAAAACTCAAAACTAAAATTTTATTTATTGCAGTGTTTCTTATATCGAAGTGGATATCTCCAACTTCATATTTCTGTTTGGTTTGGGGGCTGAATATGGACTATAGGGGGAAAGGGCAGCATAAGGCAAAGTCTTTTCATTTGAAGAATTGTGTACAATGGATTTGGTTTTGTAAAAATGTGAAGTACAAGTTCTTAAATACTTGCCGGCATTTCAATCTTTGTTTTTCCTTTATATTGAGTTTTTTAAAAAGTAACAAAGTAGGGTGATATAAATTCCTCAAATTCATTGTGGTCCTTTATTTCTCCAGGCATTTTTGGACAGAAACTGGAAGACACTGTCCGTTATGAGAAGAGATATGGGAACCGTCTGGCTCCAATGTTGGTGGAGCAGTGTGTGGACTTTATCCGACAAAGGGGGCTAAAAGAAGAGGGTCTCTTCCGACTGCCAGGCCAGGCTAACCTAGTGAAGGAGCTCCAGGATGCCTTTGACTGTGGAGAGAAGCCATCATTTGACAGGTAGATTTCAAGAGTTAAGTAATCATCCTTCACTGAGAAATCCAAACTAAACGGAAAGAAGGCAGTGAGTGAACTAAGATGATATAACCTTAACTGATGTTATAATGGTTTAGAATATGGATTATATAAGCCATACAAAGATGGTTTGTTTTTATTAATTTATAGAGTCAAAAAAATTAACACTTTAGGGACGCCTGGGTGGCTCAGCAGTTGAGTGGTTGAGCATCTGCCTTTGGCTCAGGGGATCAGGGATGGAGTCCCTCATCAGGCTCCCTGGCGAGGAGCCTGCTTCTCCCTCTGCCTATGTCTCTGCCTCTCTCTGTCTGTGTCTCTCATGAATAAATAAATAAATCTTTTTAAAAATTAGCACTTTAGGTATCTTTCTCCTCCATACTTTTGTCCCCCTTAAAATATTATTTATTCTTTTCCATTGGTCCTAAATTAACACTATTTTAAACTTTTGTGTCAGAAAAGTCTTCTCTTGTTCACAGTTTTTTTTTTAATTCTTTCAGCTAAGAGATATTACAAGTATTAATAAGCAGAGATTGGGATATTGGCAATGTAATTAAAGTAACTGTTTTTAATAATAATTATAAAAGCACTATATTTTTAAATATGTAGCTTCACCTTAATCTAGAATTGATTTACAAAGAATCAAGGAGAAGTATAGCATAATAGAATTCGGGAAATAATGGAAGTTTCAGAAGAACATATAAGCATCCATAACTCTGCTAATTAAGAGTTAAACACTTATGGTAATGTTTTGTAAATTACCTCCTTCTCGTCACTCTTTTTAACTTAGTAGAAAATAGTAATTTTTTTATCCTGATATTATCAATTTAGCATAGTGATATTTTTCATGTTACTATTTGAAATATCCCCAATATTTTTCATGTTACTATTTGAAATATCCCCAATATTACAATATATTTTAGCTGAATACTTGATGGTTGGCACCCTCTGTAAGCATAATTTTTCATATCTAATATTACACTCTACAAGTATATTGTTCATAACCATTTCAACAATTTGGACATTTATGTTATCATTTTTATCACTATAAATAATGTTGTAGAGGGCATCTATTTACATAAATATTTTCTATTTTTGGTTTATTTCCTCAGGAGAGATTCTCAGTATTGAGCTTTGTGGATAAGAATACTCTTACTACTTGAAAATTGAAAATTATATACTAAGTATCATTTTGCTTTGGAAGCATAGAATTATTAGTACACAGATATATAGACACAGATCTATGGAACAGATAGACAAGTAGATACTTGAATACATACTATAAGACAAAGGAAGCACCTTTGGGAATATGGGCTACTTCTAATAATCCAAGAAATGCACATTATATTATTTAATGTCCTTCTACTAGTTACATCAGCAAAATCTTGAATAATGGTAATACTCAGTGCTAGCAAGGTATATAGGCTAGGTACCTTGATGGTGAGAATGCAAATTATTTTAGTCTTTCTAAAGAAATTTGGTAATATATTTTAAAAGCGTTTTAGCAGGAAATTCTAGTCCTAGAAAAAATCAGATCTGTAGAAAAAAAATTTAAGTGCAAAGTTGCTTATTACAATTTTAATAATAATAAAAATAACACCAATCTATTATCTCCAGCAGGAGAATATGTTAATTAAATAATAGTGCATTAATATAGTAAAATGTTACACAATTATTAAACTTTTGGAAATATGCTAATTATACAGTCATAAGTAGAAATAATAAATGGAAGAATAAGACAGGAGCAATTAATTGATTAACATCCTACCTGTTGAAAGTATAACAGTTTATAGGCATTCCTAAATTATCTCTGAAAGATAAAAATTAAATGTGAAGACAAAAACATGAATTCAAAACCAGAGTTGGAGAGCAAATTTCAAGAATACAGATATACTTTGGCAGGGGAGCCCCATGTCTTATTTTATACTTTGAAGAAGAAAACCTAAACAAGTAGTTAAAATTCAGACCTATTCACAGGATATACACATTGTTTATCTAGACAAAATGCAATTTTTTGGCTCCAAAATTGAATGAAATTTGTCAGGGAGATCCTCATAATAAAATATCATATAATGAGATAAACAACATCTTCTACAATGAACTTCATGTGACATTAATAAGTTTCAATGGCCTTTTCTTATATTATATATGACCTAATATATATGCAGATGACATTATAGAAAAGTATATTTATTAAAAATTATTTTGCTATAGGTATTTACAGTTTGGTTATTATAACAAGATTCTCACTGATGTGAAAGAATGGAAGGATATTTTATAAGTTTTAGGATACCTATAAGAAAAGATGCCCTGTAAGCAATTATCTCCAAATCATGCTCTTAATAACTGAGCTGACAATAAAATACTGTGCTTATATAAAATATGATCCCACTTATAAAGAAGTATTTATTTTTGTATGAAATACTTTAATGCACACACAGACTGAAGGAAAGGTAACAAAAGATAAGCACGGATTTCGTGGGATAATGAATAATGAATAATGAATGATGAATGATTTTTTGCTTTCTTTTTTTAATATTGTGATTCCATTACTTTTAAAATCATAAATTTATTCTGAAAGATCTTTTAATTACCTGGTGATTTTATGCTCTGGAAAAAATTTCTTCTCTTTTAATTTCTAAAGAGTAATTACAGAAGCTACCTGTCAACTAGAAAACCTATAGAAGAGAGTTGCAGAGAGTATTTCAGCGTTAGCACTATTAATACAGTAACGCCACTAGCATCCTGCAAGGAAAAGAGTGTCATACATTTGCCCAGTCATTCAGTGTTTCAGGGTTTCTACACTTGTGTAACATGCCACCCCAAAACTTTGTGACATAAGTCATAACAACCGGTATTGCTTGTGGTTCTGCACTTTGGGTAGGAGTTGGCCAGGAAGCGCTCCTTTCTCCTGCACATGATGTGGATTCACACAGATCAGTTAGGTCTGAAGGATCCAGGATGCTTTTACTCAGATGTCCAGAGCCTTGTCTGAGATGGCTAACATGGCTGGGGGCTGCTTGGGCCTTTCTTTCTCTCTCTCTCTCCTCCTCCTGTCCTCCTCATCCCTCCCTCCCCTTCCCTCACTTCCTTCCTCCTCCTTCCTCCTCCCTCATGCCCTCTTTTCTCTTTTTTTTCTCTGTAAATATCACATCTAATAGAGCGACTCTTCATATGGCCTTTATCTCTAGCAGATTACTCAGACTTGGTGACATGATACCCCAGGGTTCCAAGAAAATGAAAATGACAGTTTGTAAGCCTCACGAGGGCCAGGTCCAGACTATAGTGTGATTTTGGTGCAGTCTATTGGTCAAAGCAGGTCACAAGACAGGCCAGCCTACATTTGAGGAGAAGGGAAATAAACTCTGCCACTTGATGGAAAAAGGGGTAAGCGTATAAAGAGAAGGAAGATTTGCAGGAGGCTATTTTTAGAGAAAATCACTATAGGTTTAAAGTCTGGAAATCAAGTGGAGTAAATCCTCTTTGTTCTTAAGATTGTTTTGCCAATTCTAGGTCATTTACATCTCCATTAAAAAAAAAAAGAAAAAAAAGGAAAAAAAAAAAAGAAAAAAAAAGAGAAAATAAAAGGAAAAAAAAGAAAAAAGAAAAAAAGAAGAAAAAAAATAATAAAAAAAAGAAATCTAGCGTATGCTTATTAAGTTGTACAAAAATGTCTGTTAGGATTTTGATTGAAATTTCACTGAATCCAGAAATCAACTGGGAGAAAATTTTGACATCTCAAAAATATGAAATCTAATTCATGAACATAGCCCATCTCTCCATTTCATTAGAACGTTCTACATTTCCATAAGGTTTTGTATTTTTCAATGTTAAGATCTTGCTCCATATAAATAATATCCTTAATATTTATAGATGTTCCTGTAAATAGTATTATTTTTAATATTTAATTTTCCTATTGCTCACTGCTGGATTATCCAAATGCAATTGATTTTTTAAAAGATTTTATTTATTTATTTGAAAGAGAGAGAACACAAGTGGGGGAAGAGGGGTAGTGACAGAGGCAGAGGGAGAAGCAGACTCACCACAGAGCAGGGAGCCCAATGCAGGGCTCAATCCCAGGACCCTGGGATCATGACCTGAGTCGAAGGCAGATGCTTAACCTCCTGAACCACCCAGGAGCTCACAATTGATTTTTTAGTATATAGATCTTTTGTCCTACCAACTTGGCAAGTTCATTTATTAGTGCTAGCAGGACTTACGTAGATCCCTTAGAATTTTCTTTGTACATATCTTGTTGACTTTACCTAGCGAGAGTTTTATCTCTTCCTTTTCAATATGTAGGCCTTGCATTTCCTTCCTTTTCTCTCTCTCTTTCTTTCTTTCCTTCTTTCTTTTCTTTTCTTTTCTTTCTTTCTTTTTTCTTTCTTTCTTTCTTTCTTTCTTTCTTTCTTTCTTTCTTTCTTTCTTTCTTTCTTTCTTTCTTTCTTCTTCTTTCTTTCTTTCTTTTGCCTGTTTGTACTTGCTAAGAACTTGGTAACCATAGAATCATAGTAGTGAGTGGACATACTTTTCTTGTATGTAGAGGGAGCTTTTCAGTCTTTCACTATGATGTGTAATGGTAGCTATAGGATTATTGTAGATGACCTTTATGAGATAAGGAAATGTCCTTTTATTTCTAGTTTGCCGACATTCTTAATAAAGAGATTCAAACATTCTTAATAAGGAGATTCAAATTTTATAAAATCCATTTCTTTCTGCATTTATTACAGAAATTATCTGATTCTTCCCTTTTGTGATGTTAATATCCTGAATTACATTAATCTATTTTCAAATGTTAAACCAACTTTACCTTGCTAGGATAAGCCACATTGACTTGTGGTGCATTACACTTTTTATATATTGCTGTATTTGACTTGCAGATAACTTTTTAAGGATTTGGGGACCTACATTCATCAAGGATACTGACCTATGGATTTCTTATACTATCTTCAACTAGTTTTGTTATCAGAGAAATTCTGATTAGTTAG